TGGAATTTTTAAAGTTCTTTGAGGTACAATATCATCCAATGCATATTTACTGTTCACCTTATTTACAGGTAATTACGATATTCTATGTAAAGAACTTAAAAATTACTTGGATCTCGCTTTTTTCTGCAGAGGATAGATATTTATATGGGTAATTAATGAATTAATCTTTCTTGTACAAATTAACAATATCATTGGATTTGTTTTTATATCTGTAACGCTGAAAAGCTTGGGAACATAACATGAATCAGTTTCTATTGCCTAAAGTTTAATACTTGCTTTACCTCTGAACTTTGGTTGCTGCATTTGATTTTAAACGATAGAACAGAAGAACAGCCTGAGCGTTGTTATATTTAGAGCCATAACTGAACTTTGTTGGTGCAAGTAGATAAATTTTAGTATGTGCGCGCGCAATTTAGAAGCATTTAGTATCTTTTGCATGCATGAAACTTTTTCTACGCCTGATACGCTCTCAACCACTCTATTTTGCCATATTTAGAAACACTACTGAACTTTGCTGCTGAATTACATTGATTAGGTCATAGCTGCAATGCTTTGGAAAGGCTATATCTTTGTGAGCATAAAGAATTTGCCTGCTTCTACTGCTCCCGATTGTTGCAATTTACTTATTAGATGTTCTATAATGCATGTAGAAAGCAAGTTGAAAAAGAATACAGGAAAGTCGTTAAGCAATCAAACGCTCTTACGCACACAGCGGGTTCACAAGTTTCGCAGCATTCGCAGAGATATGGTATGATAAGGTTTATATATGATTTAGCACAGTGCCATGAATTGCCTCTAAGAGTGACTGGCCTAAGTGACTGTATGTTGTTTTGTTGTAGGAAAAGGAATGAACCGGCCTGCCAAACAGGATGCAGGTAAGTGTTTCTAGAGACTTCGTAAAAAGATAAGAAAAAAAGCACAACCAGACAAAAACACTTGAAATGATTGTACATATGGAACGCTAACTCAGGAACAAACGAAGCGAGAAAGATGTAGATGCATGGCATCTAGTCAATAGAAAAAGAGCATCTGGACGTCGTCGTCTTCGGGGAGGGCGATCACTCAACCATGCTAAAAAGCAATAAGGAGAAGACCATTGATCCGTGTGATCTAGTCCCTAGTTCAATTGTTCAAGCAAATAACAAGAGAAGGTGGTTGCACTCAAACAAGAGGAGATGAAGAAACATCAAGAAGCTCAGCTGCAAGTATGATTCAAACATTTGCAGAGATGTTCGTGAAGTAACTGGAACGTTCAGTTAGTCAAGCTTGTTGAGAGGTTTAAAGCGCGTACTAGCACTTCCTCGAAGAGGCCTGCCAGTGTTCTTAGCGATCTATGATATGCGTATGCTCTTTGCAAACACACATAGAGTTCTGATTGAGGTAAGTCCATTTACATGTAGTTACAATCTGATTTTTTGGCATATGGCTTTCGGTTTTTGTTCTCTGTGTTTTTATGGCCTGGTATTGCGTTTTCCGCTGGTGTTGGAGCTTAGTTACGTGCCTGTGTTTTGCTTTGGAAGAGGGTGTTTTGCATTCAGAAATCACTTGTGAGCAAGAGGAGTTTTATACTGTTTTGTTTTCTGTTTTGTTTTCTGGTTTGTTTTCTTCGATTTCCTATTGTCCTGCGGACTTAGGATTTTCAGAAACACTGCTAGCCTGGAAGGTGTGGTGTTACTTGCGATTGGGTGTTTAGAGGCTAAGAAAGACATATATATCTATATATATATATATAATATTTTTATGGGTAAGTAGGAAACGAGCCAAAAAATATATGAGAAATTGTTTGGAGACTGTCATCTAAGTGTTCACTTCAATAATGCAATGTGAAATACTTTTAGATGACTAAACAATATGCTTTGGAAAAAAGAAAAGAGCTTTGAAGTGTCACCTCTTCTCTTTGCTCAAATAAATGACACGAGTTAACGCTCTGAAATGATTTCAGTGAGTTGTGGCTTGAGATTCCTCTGCCTTGCCGTCATAATTGCTGGACTCTTTTGGAAAACCAATCATAGAGCATTTATATAAGTTACCAATCCTGAAACTTTGTCGGATGTTTTTCGTAACAATCCGCGGAGAAATTTCCATCATCTTGGCTCCCTTAATAGCTTATTTTAAATTTTTAGTTATTTTCCCAGATTGACTTTCTAAAAGATACGCTAGGAATCCCCTCATCCCATTAATTATTTTGTAATCATATGGAGACACATATTAATTGTGTGTGATGATGACCAAGCTAGTACACCAGAAGACAGATAAAGATGATTATTTTGCTAGTAACTCTTGCAATTCATACTTGACAAATAGCTTTCTAAAATTATAGCGATATTCTTCTATGTTGCTGAGACTGATATATAAGATAAAAGGAAGGCATATGCTCTTTTACCTCTAATTGCGAGTTTAATATTTTATTTATGTTGTGGACCAGTGAACTTTAGATTCAAGCATCTCAACTAAAAGACAATCTTTTCTTTTTTCCTTTATTTTATCATAGTTATCTCAGAATGCCAAGTCATGTCTTATCTGCAAAATCATTAGAGGGCAGGAGGAAGCTTAGATTCATTCCAACACAAGGTTGGGGACTATACTGATTCATGATACTTTTTAGTAATGGGATTTATTAGGTCTTTCCTTGTTTCAATTAGTTTTTTCAATGGAGTAATGGTCATTGCCCGATCTTTTGATCTTCGCAGGAGTATAGCATTATATTTGTCATCGGCAAGGCTTGAAGCTGGACACTTGAATCAGAGAGGTCATTTTGGTTTGGGAGTTCCTCTCACAAAATCAAGTTAGAATACATGTGGATCGGATCAATGATCAAGGGCATCAGATTCATGATGAGTCAAGTAAAAAGGAAAAAAGAAGCAGAGACCTTTCTGTTTTTATTGTCTTTTAGTTACCCCACATGCAATAATAAGTCTTATTAACTTTTACATTACATCAGCTAGCAGCTAGCTAGCTTATGTTCTTAGAAAAGAAGAAGGAAAAGAAAGCATATGCAAATTTAATGTGAACAGAAAGGAGAAGTGACACATGCACCAGCATACGTCTAACCAAACCAGTATGTATTTGACCTATGTTATTTACTCTAAGATGAGATTTGGAGTGACCGACCTGTGATGATACACCTACCAACAGATTGCTAATTAATCCTACATGTTAGTTTCTGGGCGATACTCCTTAAAATTGGTTTTTTTGTTTTTCTTTTCTATACGCTTATATGTTAGGCGTTCTCGAATGAACTTCCATTTCTTATGCCTGTTCAGAAAAGTTTTCTGGATTATATATAAGTTGCATCATAAATAGAGACCCAGCTTCAATCTTTCTTAAGCCCTCTGGATCAGTAATTAAGTAATTGATATTCTCAATGTCTGGCTATTGTTAGTATATTTATATTGTCAATTATCCTGTATGCTAGCTAGTTAGTACTGCGGGCATATGCTTTCTTTTCCTACATACCTTTGATTAATTCTGCTAACATTTTCTTTAGTCTCATTTGAATGCTTCACATATGATTGGTTAAAATTTCTTAATTCTATCACGTTTGAGCCATTTTCAGTCTTTTTAAGCTATAAATCAGGTCATTGGGTGCCCGATGTCGTGATCAAACATTGAAGGCTGACATTGAAGAATTTTTGCCAGTTGCCCTTAGAGGAAAAGAAAGCATAATGCGCAGTTGCCTGTAGCATGGAAGCCTACGACCATGCATTTGTTGTCTCAAAGGAGCAGCGACCGTTTAGTTTCATTAATAGTATGATAGCTAGATTCTGAGTTGAAATGTTGGAGTGTGGATTTAATATTTTGTAGTTTTATACTCTATCTACTGAATGTTGGCACTTATCGTTATGGTTATTGCTTAACATTTTCACTTTGATATTGTGTATTAAAATTTGATTTGGCCATGTTCTTAAAAAGATTGTCCAGGTAATTGGATACTATATGATTTTGATGAAGAGAACCAAGAACAACCAAATAAGAGCTTGTTGGGCAATAGCTCAATCAAAACCGTTGCAATTAGCTCGACGACAAACTGTTCGATAGCTCAATCCAAACCGTTGCGTAGGTCTTTTAAAACGCGTTGCTTAGGATAATAAAGAGCTGTATTAGGAAAAAAATAGAACCGCTGCGCTTAGGTCAGGAAAATCGTCGCGCTTGTGTGCGGTTCATTAAAATGAACCGTTGCTTTAGCTATGGTAACCATAGTCTTAGGTGGCAATAAACCGCCACATTAGACTAACCGTTGCATTAGGGTACCTAATGGAACGGTTATTAAACTGTTCGCGTCTATAGGGGAAAACCGTTGGCCATATAGCTAGGGGCCGGCCGCCAAGAGAAGACGGATTGGGCAACCCGCTGCACTTGTAAGGTAACGGTTTTTATGCTAATGTAACAGTTTTTAACCGTTGCCTTAGCCTAAGTCTGTGGTAGTGTCTATACCATTCATGAATAGCTGAAGAGTTAATTTATAAATTTTAACTCTTTCATCTATAGCGCAAACCAACTCTATATTCCTATGGACGTTTCTGCTAAGATCCTTAATGATTATTATATATCATAAAACACAAAATGAACAAGTACAGACAGACGATAAATTAAAAAAATTTAAATATTATAATGCTACATAATCAACCCTGTTTATCTCATGTTTATTTCATGTTTGATGAAGCCCTATATTTTAATGAAAACAGATCAAATGGTTAACACCTACTGTACACGATATAAATAAAAAATTTATAATTTTTCTTAAACAAAATTTTGCAAACCAAAGTAGAACTTTTCTCTCTTTTTAAGGAAAGCAAACCAAAGTAGTAAATGCCATGGGGGTTCCAAAAGTCCAAAGTTCCCTCGTCCATATCCATACAATGCTCAAGTTTTACAAAGTCTAGACTCCAGAATATTGTACGCTTCTCAATTAAACAATTCAGCATATTATATACATATTATAATAAAACCTGAAAAATAAACAACTATACGCAAACTGTGACTTATAAGTCACACTCCTCGTTTTGCCCCCCATTCCTTTTCCTTCTTCAAGCTTCTCTCTTCTCTCCTCCCTTTGATCATCATATCTCTTCAATATTAAAACGGACGGCTGAGATCATTTATAAGGTGGATCATCATAGGCATGGGATCGAAGAGGCCTCTTCCTTGTGACGAACAGGAAGAGAGAGAAGAAAACATGTCATCCTTCTCTAGATACAGCTCGTCACGTGCGGAGCAGGATGCCTCGGCTATGGTCTCGGCCTTCGCTCACGTGATCAGCGCCAGCAGTGGAGAAGTTGAGGCTGAGAACACCGCGGCGAGCTTACCGGAGGCACACAAGGAAGCTGCAGTCAAGCCTGATTTAGAGGAGCAAGGAGGTACTCACTAACCCTAACATTTTTCAGTTTAAAAAACACCACTTTCCCCTTTTATTTTTTATTCTCTAATTTTATTAAAATTAAAATTAAAGGGAAATAACCAAAATATTTTGCTTCTAAATCTGAAATAGGGTAGGAAGCCAGGACAACTGATCACTTCCACGCAATTTTACAAAAACATAGACAAAAGAGGTTATCTTCACGACGTGTGTTCGAAATTTTTATGATGCTTAAATCAGTCTCTCGAAGAGCAAATATGCAAAGTATTTTTGCAAAGTGTTTTCGCAAAGTGTTTTCATGGTTTAGCCGTGCATATCTTCCTTTACCTAAGAGAGAGTTTCACGTGGAGGGGCATGGAGATGCTAATCCTAAAAAAATTTTGACGCGAAAATATACTAATTATATACCAATTTCCCAATTTCCTATTTTATTCTATTTTTTGTAATTAAAAAAAAAATTAAATGTAGATATATATCCATGTAATTATTTGTTGATCAACCGTGTATATGTATTCAATAAAAATCTTTATATATGTATGCAATAAAAATCTTTATTGATAAAGTAATGTGGAATGATTTATTTATTCATTAAGCTTACAACTTCTAAATATTGTTGCATTCAAGAATCTAAACATTCACTGTAGAGGGCAAAGAGGTACAGCTAGCACGTACCCAATTTAAGTAGTTGTTCTCTAAAATAAATGGAAATCCTGAAAATTAATACATTGTTTATCAACCATCGTTAAGTAAGATTTGTTCATTATTATTATTACTAATTAATCTTAAAACTTCCAATTATCGACACATGCTAGTATATGAGCTCTAGCTTTTGTGAGCTGAACGAGTCCATTTATACGCGAGGTTTCAAATTTCTTTGTATTTGGGACTTCTCCATATGTATTGTGATCAACATTTATCATATTGGTCGGTGTTGATACCTAACTAATTGACTAATTAAACAAGACATTGATATTGTCATATTAGAAATAATAATAATAATAATAAAATTAAATGTATTTTTCTTTTTTAAATACTATCTCAGTTGTCTTCTCCCAGAAGCTACATAGAGAAAGAAACCAAATTGTCATTTGCTTCTGCTCCTTGTACAGTCAGTTACCATGCCATTTGAATTTAAAGAATCACAGGGGTTTCATGAACCGTATGCTATACGTATCCACTTAAACTGAGATAAAAGATGATTTCCTCTATTTATAAAATAAATCAAAACTACAAGAGAGGGTTAAGAACTAATAAGTTGCACTATATGCTATATGCATAAATCCTCACTAGTATTGCATGGCGTTGATGTATCCAAAAAAAATAAAAATAAAAAATTCAGTAGTGCTCTCTTTTTTGTCTCCGAAGAGTCCCAAAAACTAAATACTGGCCACCTCGGAAGATGAGTAACTTGGTTATAATCTTCTGTGTCATTTTATAATTTTATTTTAATAAAAGTGCAATTTATGAGATATATATGGATAAAGACAACCAATGTTTCACCTCTCTTAAGGAAAATCCTAAATGTTATAAACAGTTATATTTGATCCTCCAATTTTTAATAGATAATTGAGCCATAATGTTTAAAGCTAGGATGGCTATAGTTTATATCTATCTCTATAAAATACATTCATTCTTATAAGTTTCACTTTAAGACAGATCATAATTGTTTAATAATTATTATTAAGTGAACTCTATTTTTGTCTCTATGGTCCATATAGACGCAATAAAGAATGGGATCTTTTAATAAGAAAATATAGGGTTAATTGCACATAGACTCCTACAGTATCATTGTTTTGAACTTACTGTCCCTGCAGTTTCATCGCTACCGATTAATTTTTTTTAATCTTTTTATCCTAGATAAAATTTTGGCAGATATTATCCCAGATGAAATTGATGAGTGTATATGAGGGTAAAAAAATAATCTCAAAGGGATCAATATGCAACAATGAAACTACAGGCGTAACAAGTTCAGAACAACAATCCTATAGGGGGTCCATTTGCAAATAACTTTCATATATAATAAAAATATAAATCAGTTTCAAATGTTAATTAATATATTTGTTATGACTAGAAAAGTGTAAGGTTGAGGAGGACCTAAATCCTAGATTTGGGTGTCATGCATCCCTCAGCAAAAATGATATATATAATAAAAAATATGATAGGTGGATCAGGATTCTCTCTAGTAGGTGGTAATTTGAGAGTGTCCAATGACCTCAATCTTTACTGTCTATTCTAATTTTAACGGATAATATAATGCCATGAAGGATTACCACTTATCTGAAAACCACAATTGTCTTGAAAACCACTATTTTGAAAACCATTTTTTGATTGTGAAAATCCATCTAGAATCATCTTATCCTTTGAAATTAGAATAGACTATGAGGATTGGAGTAATTAGACCCTCTACAGTTACCATCTAATTGGAGAGGATCTGTATCCTAGCATTATAGCCCCTTATTCATTCCAATTTAGTTTAGGAGTGGCGTTGTGACTCTAGTTGTAATGCAAATGCTAGTTGCATACGGTTTTAATTATCATAATTTTGTTGTATGTAATTGTAGTTGCAATTTTTTTTAGTTTTGGTTCAATTTTAAAGTGCTACATGTACAATTATATATAGTTATATGTGTTTGTTATAAGGTATCAACTTAGGATTTAGATCCTCTCTATTGCTAAAAGAGTATTGGAGGGATCATTACATACATAATCATAATTATTAATTATCTAGTGGGTGATTATAGTTTTTTCTTTGAGTGCAAATTGAGAACGAGTGCAATGCATGAAGATGCAGTAAGTATTACATTTAAATTGTATCACAATCACCCTTTAAATAATCAACAGTTAGGATCCAATTCATCCGATTGTCGGATTTTCTTTTGGAAATTAATGACCGGAATGGGAGCTCCAACTTACGTCTATTTCACAATTAATCAATAAGATTGTAACTATGACTTAGTCTAAATTTGTGTAATACGGTAAGAGTTGTCGTCGTGTGTGATCGGGTCAGAACATGAACTCCTTCACAAATTAGTGGGATCCCTTCCCAAGCCACTGTAATTGTTTTTTAATGTTCCAATTGTATATATGCAGCTATATTTTTGTAACTACAACTAACGTCAAACAACTCCTTAGTGGATACTAATCTCTCTCTTTTCATCAACCACAGCAACCACAATGAGAAGACACTACAGAGGAGTGCGTCAAAGGCCATGGGGCAAATGGGCAGCGGAGATACGCGACCCCAAGAAAGCAGCCCGTGTCTGGCTCGGCACCTTCGACACCGCTGAGGCCGCTGCTGTTGCCTACGATCAGGCTGCGCTCCGATTCAAGGGCACCAAAGCCAAGCTCAACTTCCCTGAGCGAGTCCAGGGCCGAACGGACCTCAGTTTCCTACTGACCCGAGGAATTCCCACAGAAGTACCAGCCACAAACTTATCTCAAGTTTCATACCCTAATTTACTGCAGTATGCACAGTTGCTGCAGAGTGGTAGAGATGAGGATCTAAGCAATGTTGCTTCTGGGCTTTATTGTACTGGAAAGTCTTTGCAATTTTCATCTTCATCAGGAACGAAGGTGGAGGGTTCTAATTCGTCGGAGGAGTTTTTGGATTTTTCATTACCGCATGCTGCGGGTTCAGTCTCTTCTTCTTCGAGTTCTTGGAGTGGTCATGGAGATCAAAAGGATAAAGATCGGGGAGGGAAGCAAAAAGATAATTAAGGGTTCAAGGGGTTGAGTGTTAAGATTGCATGGGGAATAAGAGGGGAACGTGATAGCTAGATGTGGGTATTGGAAGTGTGAAAACTATTCAGTGGTTTTCCGTAAGAATGACCAACCGTGCTACTTGTTGATTGACATGATGAGATTTAATTTGGGGGGTGCTCAATGGAAATTATTTTCATGAGCCATGAAACCATAAAACCCAATCCGTTTCTTAATTTATCAACATGATAGTCGCTAATTAAGAGTCAAATTTGGCAAACTCCTCTAAACTGTATTAGGATTGATGTTGGTCTAGTTTTAAGATGAATTAGTTCTACTCTGAGAGGAATAAATTAAAACAAAACCCGTTCTAGGGAGGTATTTTAGATTTGGAAAATTGGATTAATACTGGCATAGTTTTTCTCAAACAAGATGCTTTTCAAAATGAGATTTGGAGAGTCAAACTTGATCGCATTTTGAGAATTTGCAAAACAAATGGTAGAAAAGAATTTCTGAGTGTATAATCCAAAATCTAGAGATGAACGTGCATGAGTGATGTGAGCAATGCACGTTTATAACTCTAGCGGCAATATTTGTAGATAGATAATGTTGATGTTGCAAGTAGTGACTAGATACTTTGCTTGGTTGATTGATATGATGAGAACTGATTTGGGGACCCCCTCAACCTTGCTGTGTTAAAGGACTGCAATGCAGGTTCAAATTCAACGGATTTGAGAGTAGTTCGTGTGAAGAATATGTTGTTGGAAGATACTTTGGACCAAAAAAGAGCACGCAAGTCCTTCACAAGCCATTCTTTTTTTGTTCTAGTTATCTTTATGTAAACCCATCTTTGTTGTTTCTAGCTAGTTGATCATCTTCTGTGAAAAGTTTTTTTTTATGAAACTTGAGGAGATGATGCACTCTTTGATCTCATGTTATAATCATGACTAGTACGGGATCAGTGAGATGCTGAGATCACAAGCCATTATGAATACGCATGACCAAGAAATTGTTTTAGCTCCTTTGGTGAAGTCAAGAATTATAGTTATTGTTAATAAAATATTTTGATGAAGTTTAGCTAAATTATTATTTATAGTATCTATTATGCAGACATTATCAACCCAAAATTAAAGTTTTCATTCCAAAATTGAAAATCCAAATAGTTGGATACAATCTACTACACATGAACTATCTAGAAATGCAATTTTAATGAATTTTGATATATTTCGAATCATATATAGCAATCAACAAATAAAATTAAGCAACATGATGAAAATTCCTAAATGTTAATTTTGACGATATATGATACATGGTAAAATATGTGAAAATACTTTAAAATTTTACTTCTAAATAGTTCACAATGCATCCTAGATGGAATATTCTGTCTAGGATGGGCCAAATTTTTTCTATGTTGCCCATCATAGACGAAATTCCGTCTAGAAAGATCACCCTCGTTGGAAAATCATCCTAGATAGAATAATTCTACTATCCAGGATACATCTTAGATGAAAATCCGTCGAGGTTGTATCCTAGATAGTATTTTTTTGTCTAGGGTACTTTTTAACATATCCTAGATGGAAATTTTTTCTCAGATGTAAAAAAACATCCTAATTAGAAACACCATCTCGGATGAACATCCTGATGTGAAAAATATCCTAAATGGAAACACCGTCTTGGATGAACATCCTAGATGGAAACTCCGTCTAGGACTAATCCTCATCTAGAGGATTAATCCTAGATTGAAATTTCATCTATAAGGCCTTATCATTTAGAAGAAAATTCTAGAACTTTTAGTTTCCTTAAATATAATTAATATCATATGTTAGAATTCACATCTATATATTTAAATCCCATATAAATTCAACATGTAATTCGAATTCCGTTCCAAAGCCAAATCCAAAACATCAACATATACACATTTACACACATTCCATTCAAATAACAAATCCAATACATAAAGCTTTGAATGTTGCTGGAGGGATTGACAACTTGAAACAAATTCTCAGTACTTGCTATAAGAACTCTAAAATCCAGTTATCAGCAGTGTACACTGTTTTTTCCCCCTGCTTCACATATGGTTCCCTAACACAACACAGTTTGGGGGAAGCTAAATTTTCCGAAGCACACCTTTGTGTTGTGGATTGCGGTGCAGAACAGATTACTTACACAAGACAGATTGCTGAGAAGAGGAGTCATTAATACAAATGATTGCCTTTTGTGTGCAGGTGCAACTTCAGAAAGCAGAAACCACTTATTTTTTGATTTTTCATACTCAAGGGATGTGTGGTTGGCCATCATGGACTGGCTCAAAATGAACTGGCAAACTTGTGACTGGGACTTACTTATGAATTGGTTTAACATCAGACAGAGAGGGAATGGTTTCAAAAAAAATTTGAGGAGGATGACTCTTGCGGCTGCTGTGTACAGGTTGTGGGTAGAAAGAAATGTCAGATTTTTTCAGTAAAAAGTTAAAAGTGCAGTTCTTTTGGTTAAGGATATCAAAATTGATATCTTAACTATATGCCTAAATAGTTCTATCTTAGATGAATATAGGGAGTGTATAATATCTTTATTATTTTGATAGTTTTCTTTAAGAAGCTTGGTTTTCTAAATGTTGAGAGAGTGATGTATATAATTTCCATATTTTGGTAAATGAATAAAAGCATTTTTCATTGACAAAAAAAAAACAAATCCAATACATCATCCAATATTAATATACATCAACCAATACACATTCCATTTCAATGCCAAATCCAACCAATATACTTTAACATTCCAAAAATCTAAAACAAATGAAACAACTATTTTCCACAACATGGATGTCCAAACTCTGCAAAACAACTTACAATAAAAAAAATAAAGGGGCGGGTCTAATGGTGCATTTTAGTGGGCGATTTTCCTCCTGCTAACATGCACCCCCGCTAAGATTTAGATGAAAAAAAAGAAGAAAAAAGTGAAAAAAATCTTTAATATAGGATTAAGAGTTTCAAATTCTAGTTTACAATCTTCTAAGGATGAATCTGATGTAAATTTTGCTAAAGATGATGAAGATTTGGATCTCGGTGTAATTGGGTCAATGAGTCCTAGAGGAGAGAAGAAGAAGTAATTGATGAAGGATATTCTTAGATCTAATGATTTCCTTGTGGATCCTCTTCACTCTCAGGGTACGCCAAAGTTGATTGGAGTTCAATCGCGCCATCTCAGTAAGTCCCCAAGCTCTGGTAATGAAGTTAGCAACTCTGCAAGGGTTTCCTGGTTGATGAGCTTGAATTGGAGAATGTATCAACTAATTCTTTTTTGATTCAACATCTCTCAGCTAATCCTAAAAGTAATTTTGATTCTGTTTCATCGATTGCATTGATTCTGGATGATGTTGCTGTTCCATTGGATTTTGTTGGAAAAACGGATGATGCAACCAAATCTGATGATCTTTTGTCTCATGATATTTTGAATTTTGTTAATCCAAATTCTAGTACTCTGCCATTAGAGCCTCCTATAGTAGAAACCGTCAATCAAAAATCAGATAATACTACACATGGAAATGATATGAATTTGGGAAATAGTGTGCAAGAACCTAAAAATGCTAGTCTCTTTGCTGATAATAGAAGATCTGGTAATGGAATGCCTTTAAAATTTGTGCAATCTTCCCAAGCCAACACAGTTACATTCTTTGCGGAGGAGTGGAAAGATGGATAGGTTTGTTAGACCCTAGAGGGGGGTGATTAGGGTCTTATACTAATCTAATCCGATTATATGCCAATAAAAACTAATTAACAAGTTATCCTAGCAAGTATGAAATATAACAACTATATAAGCTAGGATAAGCAATATGAATAATGAGATATATCCTATATGATGAATATATATATGCAAGGATATATAAAATAACACAAGATGATATATCCTATCAATATGATATATGTATATGCAAGGATATAAAACTAACACAAGGGGTAAACAATATGAACTAGATAGTGGATCATATAAATAATGAGCTAATAATTAAGCACAACTCTTAGTCACAAACCCACAACCCCAAATTATACTATGTATGTAAATACAATAAGCTCAAGTGGGTGTGTGTAACAATGAGTATAAATCAAATCAACTAAACTCAAATATAAAATCTAGCTTAAGAGCAATAATAATCAAACAAGTATATAAATATAAAGCTAGAGTTTGAGTTTAGAAAACTTCTCAATTGATAACAAGAGATGGAGGGAGGATAGTTGGAAGCTCAAACTTCAATAGATAATCTCCTCAAGCTCTTGTGGAATTGATTCACAAAACCGAAACACTCAAATGCTTAACAGCTTCTTAAAACAAACTTAAACAAACACTAAATAAGTTTTACATCCTTGTTAAAATCTTTTAAACCATTTTCTTAGATAACTTAGTTAGAACTGAGGTAAGGGGGGTATTTATAGAAACCCCAAAGCCAAGAGAAAGCCAAGAAAAAGACCAAAAAATCACTCTGCAACGGCTCTAAAAATAGCCGTTGGAACAGAGTTGACAGTGCGGCGGTCGACCGGTGTGGTCGACCGCGAGCAAGGTAAGAAACGAAAGAATTTTCCAGACAGTTCGTCGGTCGACCGCACTGTAGCGCGGTCGACCGCTGGTACTGTAGCAGTGCATATTAGTTTTGTAAAATCATTTAAAAATAGTAAAACAGCTCCAAAATTTATAAAATTTTGTGGGAAGGTTATAGACATATATAATAACATATTAGAGAAAGAATTTCTGAAAAAGAATTTCCCAGTTGAGAGAAATAAATGTTTGAACACAGATTTATAGTTTCTGAAAAACTGCAGACATACACGATTTTTTAAAATCAATTGGGCATAGTAAATAAACTCCAAAAATAGTAAAATTTTGAGGAAAGTTTCTAAACATGTAGATAAACATGTCAAAGAAAGAATTTCTTGAATATCACTTCTCATTTATGAAAAATCATCTGTTTTGTAAAACATGTACGAACATGTGCACGAACAAAAATATGATTTTGTAAATTCCATTAAACATAACAAATCAATTCCAAACTTGATGAAACTTTGCAAAATGTTTATAAACATGAAAACAAACATGTTACAAAAATAAATTTTCAATTTTCATTTCTCAATTGTGAAAACTCATTATTTTGTAAAAACATGCATGAATATGAATTTGTTAAGAACATGTTTTTGACAAAAAGAGTTTAAACGCATATTGAAACTTTATGAAATGTCTTCATAAACATTATA